GGACATGGTGGCGGGCATCCCCGACTTCAACTTGCCTGGCCCAACCCCACGGGGGGGGGGGGGCGTCGGTCGGCCAGGGCGAACACTACGTGGAGCTCGCCCCAGGAAGCTCCCAGGGAAGATTCGGGGGTGTGCGAAGACTTTGGTATTCCGATGCTTGTGGCGAACCCCGCCGCTATGCCTGCGCTTCGGGTCGCAAGCCTTTTGGGCGTTGGTGCAGGTCTCGCTTTTTTTGTGTGAGGGGATTTCCAAGATGCCTTGGGGGCTTTCGTGCAAAACTTGCAAGGCATTGTGGACGTTCTCGGCGGCGTCATGGGCCTTCAGGTGGCGTTCGTGGGAGCCTCGCAGGGGCGTCGCGGAGAAATCTGGACCCTGCTGCGGGCAAGTTGGGGCTGCTGGTTGACACTATGTCTCACGGTTTTCCCTCATATTCCATCCCTCTCCGTTATCACCCTTCCTTCCTCCTCCCTACTCACTCGTCCACCCTCCCCCCTACCCCATCCCTCCCCTTTTCCCTGGTTTCCCCCCCCCCCCTGGCCCTCCTTCCCCATTTCCCAAATATTTCCCCCCCCCCTTCCACCTCGCCCCACCAACTCGCCCCCCCCTTTTTCCTGCCCCATCTTTTCTTTTCCCCTCTCCCTTCCTCGTCGTCGTCCTCCCCCTTCCCCCCTCTTTTCCCTTTTTTCTGTTCCTGCCCCTCCCTGTATAATTTCTCTGTTTCGGCACGCCGGCCCCATAGGGAGCTCCACCGGAGGCGCCAGTGGCAGGGTCCACATGGCGACGCCGCTCCATTTGAGCGCGCACCATCACACGGCTTGCTGCCCCAGAGGGATCTCCACCGCAGGCCTCAGCGGCAGGGTCCGCCATCTGGACAGCAGAGGGGAACTCGAACGCGGCGCGCCGCAGCGCGCTTCGAAACGATGTTGGGCACAATGGCATTTTTACCGCAACGCCGCGAATTTGTGAGCCGCCCCACGCGAGGATGCCGAACGCATGCGCGTGCTACCGCATGTGCGCCGCCGGAGCTAAGTTTCCAGCTTCGGTCGTAAATTGTAGCGCGGGCGAGTGTCAGGCGCCCTCGACGTGTCATGTAGGCCCGCGCGTTGGGCGTCCACGCATCATGTCGGAAGCATGTCATCCTACCACTCTCGCGTAGTGCAGCGCTTTCGTTGCAGCGCGGTTCGCCGAAGGCGCTGGTGCGTCGCCGAAAGCGACAGCCAGGTTCCTTTGGCAGGAGGACTGGTGGGGAGGGGTGGAATGGGAGGTGCGCGCGAATGAGGGGGGAGGGGCAATGAGGCGAGGAGGAGGAAGGCGAGGCGGAAGGCGTGGATGAAACGGGAAAAGGGAGGGGGAGGGAAATTGAGGGTGGTTCAGGGGAGCCGGGGACGCTCAGGGCCCCTCTTGGGGCCCTCTCGGAGCCGTCCTGGGGCTCTCTACGAGCCTCGGACGGCACCGAAACGGCCCCAAGATAATCGCAAGAGAGCCCCAAGAGAGCCCTAAGAAGGGCCCTGAGGCGCGTGGACTGCGGCCTGCATGCGGTCCGCGCACTAGTACGAGCGATTGAGTCTGAAAGGGCAAGGCGTGGCACGCGCGTCATGAAAACGCGGCACGCGGCAAAAATAAATATGAGAAGGAAACTCGCGCGCTTCGCGTGCGTGCGTCGACCGAAATTGCTAAATCAGGGCAATGGCGCGGCGACGACCGCGTTTGTCTCCACCAATCAATAATTTTAAAAATGCAAAACAAATTTGTCGAGGCCCTGGTTTTGTTTCCTGGACCCGATACCCCCCCTCCCGCACCAGGGGGCCCCCAAGAGCCCCCCAAGAGGCCCCAGGGGAGCCCAATACGCCGCCAAGGAGCCCCAAGACGCTCCCAAGAAGCCCCCAAGAAGCCCCCAAGACGGCCCCAAGAGGCCCCAAATAGCGCTCCAGGGCCGGCGGAATGAGCGAAGCGATTAAATCCGCCGATCCGGCGTGTCAGTTTCTGAGAGCGTGGGCTTGAGCTCGCTCAAGCTTCGCTCTGGGGGGGAGGGTCGGGATCCGGCGAATTATCCACGCAATTCACTGAACGCTCCAGCGCGGGTGGAGGGGGGTCCCAGGAGGAAGCTCGAGCAGGGACGGAGGGGGGGTCGAGCTCAAGCGGGGGGGTGGCCCAAGAAACCGGGGAAGGCAGCGGGGAGGAGAATCCAAGAATCGAGGGGGGGGGGAGCTCGAGCGAGGACGGGGGGGGGGTCGAGCTCAAGCGAGGGGGGGGGTCCAAGGAGGAAGCTCGAGCGGGGACGGGGGAGGGGGGTCGAGCTCAAGGGGGGGGTCTAAGAAACCGAGGAGGGCAGCGGGGGAGGGGGGTCCAAGAATCGAGGGTGCGGGGGGGAGCTCGAGCGAGGACGGGGGGGGTCGAGCTCAAGCGGGGAGGGGGGTCCAGGAGGAAGCTCGAGCGGTCGAGCTCAAGCGGCGGGGGGAGGGGGGGTCCAAGAATCGAGGGGGGGGGGAGCTCGAGCGAGGACGGGGGAGGGGTCGAGCTCAAGCGGGGGGGGGGGTCCAAGGAGGAAGCTCGAGCGGGGACGGAGGGTGGGGTCAAGCTCAAGCGGGAGGGGGGTCCAAGAAACGGGGAGGGGCAGCGGGGGGGGGGTCCAAGAATCGAGGGGGGGAGGGGAGCTCGAGCGAGGACGGGGGGGGTGTCGAGCACAAGCGAGGGGGAGGGGTCCAAGGAGGAAGCTCCAGCGGGGACGGGGGAGGGGGGTCGAGCTCAAGCGGGGGGGCCCAAGAAACCGGGGAGGGCAGCGGGGGGGGTTCAAGAATCGAGGGGGGGGGGGAGCTCGAGCGAGGACGGGAGGTGGGGTTGAGCTCAAGCGGGGAGGGGGGGTCCAAGGAGGAAGCTCGAGCGGTCGAGCTCAAGCGGGGGGGGGGTCCAAGAAACCGGGGAGGGCAGCGGGGGGGGGGATCCAAGAATCGAGAGGGGGGGGGGAGCTCGAGCGAGGACGAGGTCGTCGTCGTCATCGTCGTTGTCCTCGTCGTCGTCGTCGCCGTCGTCGTCGTCGTCGTCGACGACGTCGTCGTCGTCGTCATCATCGTCGTCGTCGGTCGTCGTCATCATCGTCCGTCGTTGACCCGGTCGTCGGTCGTCGGTCGTCGTCGTCGTCATCGTCCGTTCCCACACGCATCGGGAGCGCCCCGGATCGGCGGCACTGGCCGGAGGCCATTACAATATAATCTGGCAAAAATTGGAGTCCAGCGGTTTGGGAGCATGTGACCGTGCGCGGCGGCCGCTCTGGAGCGATCTGGAACGCTCAAGGAGCGTTCTGGAACGCTCTGAAACGATTCGCCCCTGTCCTCGCCCCACTATGACGACGACGATGAATATAACGATGACGATGACGACGGTGATTACGATGACGACGACGAGCCTCCGCGCACCGAACCTCCAACGGGGAGCCCGTGCCGACGTCCCCCCGACGCCCCTGCGCCGCCCCGGGCGCTCCTCGGAGAAGAGCGCTCCTCCGGCCAAGGCCGCGATGCGCGATGACCGTCCCGCCCCTGGGGGCACAATCAAAACTGTTAGTAGAGCCGACCCGTATGATAAGGACGCACGATAGGGATCCAAGGGCCTTGGAAGGCCATGTCGACCCGTAGCGGGTGGAGTTCGGCTAGCGAAAGTGGCCACGCATGGGTCTTCCCGCCCCTGCGAGAACAATCAAAATTGGTAGTAAGGATGCACGATGAGGATGTACGCCCCTTGGAAGCCACTGCAGAAGCCTTTCGACCCCCAGGAAGCCCCCCCAAGCCCCCAAGAGGCTGCTCCCAAAAGGCCCCCAAGAAACCCCAAAGATGCCCCAAACGTGCGCCGCAGAGACTCCTGTGAGCGGTCGGAAGAGATTCCAAAAAGCAGCAAACATTCAAAATCTAAAGGGAAAACCTGCATCTTAAGCAAGTCGGCTCCAAGAGGGGGCCAGACGGGCGCTCTCCTTTGCCCCTCTCTGCGTGTTTTGCTCATGTCTCCCTCCTCTTCGTGCTCTCGGGCCTGCGCCACCTACACGTCGCAGGCAAGGTAGCTAGACCCCAAAGAGGGGTACGATCGAAGACGAAAAGGGCGGGTATCGATGGTTTGGGATATACATGTTGATTGACGAGCGCCGCCCGAAAACGCCCCGAACCCTCTCGATTCTCGGGGCGGGGCGGACTGGCAACATCCCTGGTGGTGACCCCCAAGTGGCAGCTGCTCCTAGAGGCCTCATAAAGAGGGTCCGAGTAGATGGGGTCGGAGGATCCTGCCACATCGCCGATGCAGCGCCGATCCGTCGGCGATGCATCGGCGCCATCGATGCTGGAACATTCGGGTTACACATCGAGCCGCATCGCTGACGCATCGGTAATGTGGCGTGATCCACCAACCCCATCTTCACGAGTGGCGAACCTATTTAGGTGGGTCATGCCCTCCTACAGGCAAACTTTGGAGGAAAACCAAAAAAAACAAGTAACATCGAATATGATCTGAAGAACACGAACAATCGTCGCCAAACTATTTTGTACTATTCTTGAGTTCTCCTCCTGCAGAGGGGCATACCCGACTTAAGAACATATCCGTACCGCGCCCTCGCGGTCTGGAATCGTTCGGGGCGCGATCCCGCGGATACGAGGGCGTACAAGCACGCCCCGCGCGGGGCGTCCGTGAAAAAACGGCCCGCATTCGCGGCGTCGTGGCCCAGGGGCCCGGCCCGCGAGGCCGCGGATTCGGATAGTTGAGACGAAACCAGGGCGAGGATAAAATCGAGCGATGATAAATCGCGAACATCTGAGATCCAGCGGCCCTGGAAGATGTCTCGGGCGCTGCGGCCTTCTCAGGGCGCTACAGAACGCTCTGAGAGAGTACTGGAACGCTCCTGAACGGATTCTGCCTCAGACCAGCCTTGGGTCGGGCATGTCCTCCTACAGTCGGATTCTCGAAGAAACCGCAAAAAATATTTGAAACTATTTCGAAATAGTCAATAACAGTCGAACAATCATCCGCAGACTATTTGTTGCTTATTCTTGAGTACTCCTCCTGTAAAGGGACATGCCCGACTTAAATCCTACCGCCGTCCAGAGATGTCCTTTCGCCCGCGACGTCTATTCGGACCCCAGTAGGGGGGAGCCCGGACCCAACCCGCCGCTGGCGGCGCTCTTCTTGTACTCGTCGAAGCCGGGGGGCGGCGCCGGGCCCGCTGGCCCCTGCCGCTGCACCAGAGCCGCCGCCTGGGGCGGCGGGGGGGCGCGGCGACTGCGTGATGGCCGCCGGCGCGCGCACCAAGGCCGCAATACCAGCCCACATCCAGACCTGCAGCGCATCGAGAAAGACCAAACGGTGCTGTTACTCCGTTCGCTGCCTCTGGGGGCCCTCGCCAAGCCCCCGGACCGTCAGACAACGCCGTGGGACGGAAACGCCGCGTGGAACAGAAACGAGACAACGGATGTCTGGGCAGAACCATGTCGACCTTACGCTGTGGATGACTCGGGCCGCCAGGCGGCACGCCACACTGGATACGATACGCGCGAATGTCAATCAAGCCGGTGTGTATGCGTCGCTCATACGGTTGGGCGCGCAAAGGTCAGGAAGAGGGAGACCGATGTTGAGCACATCTGGGAGGATCGGGGACCGAGGTCCGAGAACAGAGGATACTCAGTCGGGCCTAGACCAGACGAGTATCCTTCAAAAACATGAGACCCTCCGCTTGCCAACACTGAAGAACGCTCGAGAACATTCGGCAAATTGAGCAGGGAGCGACCGTCCCGGCGTTCCTCTAGCCCTACCACGGAATGCTCTTAGAACACAAACATGTTCTAAGAAAGAACAATGTTCTTGAAACAAAAACCCGATGTGAAAAAAAAAAAAAAACAAGACAGACTCCGCAAGAAAGGTTCTTAGAATATTTCGTGGAAACCACAAAAGGTTCTTAGAACATTGTTTGGTAGGGATATAGACGAGCCAGGACGCTTCGCCACTGCTTGAAACAACCACGAAGAACTCTAGGGTGCCCCTTTAGGGTACCCTCCCCGAACCGACCTCGATCTTACACCTCCGTCCGACTGAAAGGCTTTTGGAAACCATGCTTCATTCTCTTGGGGGCCTCTAGGGGGTCTCCCGGGACCTGTGGAGACGTCTGGAAACCTCCAGAGCCTTCTAGATTCGGGGTTCGAGGGTCGTGGTCCCAGGAACGAGGCCTCCAGTCGCCTCTGGTGCCTGTGTGGTTCGGCACGAAGACGTGCGCGTTCATCCAAGACTCGGCAAGAAAACCCGAGATTCAACCGTCACCCGAAAACCAGGCCAGGACGAGGATAACATCGGACGAGGATACATCGCGAGTCTCTGAGATCAGGCGGTTCTGGAGGATGTCTCGGGCGCCGCGGCCTTCTCGGAGCGTTCTGAAACGCTCTGAGAGCGTTCTGGAACGCTCTGGAACAAATTTATCCTCGTCTCAGCCCCGCCCGACATCCATCGCTCGGAAGACGCTGGTAGAAATATGGAGCAAGAAGGCGGGTCTCCGGCGGCCCTTCGGGGCAACGCGGGCACCCCAGACGCCCCTCGGCGAGGCGCAGCTGCTGGAAGGCCTCCTGAGGCTGAAGAGCCGGCGAGAACTGAGGAAAACGTCCGCAAGCCTCGGAACCTCGAACCTCATCACGACACCCACCGGGGCGTGGCCCTCGGAGATCTACTGACCTGGGCCAATCCAAACCAGAGCCAGTCAGGCTTTGCAGGATCCCGCAGGATCCTGCGGCTGCAAAATCCTGCAGGAGCCTGAACCTGAGCCCGGGCTAACGCATCCCTGGCTCCGCAGGACCCTGAAAGACACTGGCGCTCTGACGGACCCCTGTTGGCACTGACCCCCGTCCCCTCAGCCCCAAAAACCGCTTCGCGACGCTCACCGGGACGTGGCCCAGCAGATCCAGACCCCCGACGTCGTGATTTTTCACTACCTCGACCCCCAGGGATCTGGACCCCTTCTCCGGGACGGGTTTTTCGTCCGGAGTCGTTTCTTGACGGTCCCGAAAAAGGGCTCCCAAAGACCCCCTGGATGTTGACAACAGCGAACAAAAAAACGTCGTGATTTTCGTTCGCGACGCGAGGAGGTCTGGGTAGGAACCACTGTAAGCCACCTCCACGGGCCTTCCGCCGGCCTCTGCGGCGCTTGGGGGCCCCCCCGCCGGCCTCCGCACAAGGCGAGAGGAGGGGGAGGGCGGCCCCCCCCGCACCCCCGCGTCGGAGAGAGGAGGCCCCTGGCCAAGTGCGCCCCCGCACGGCGGGGGCACGGGAGCAACGACCTCTCTCGGCTTCCAGCCGGCCCGTATCATAAGGATGCGCGCTAAGGACGCAAGGGCCTTGCACGCCCATCAAGTTCGAGCGGGACGCGGCCAGCGAAAGTGGCTAAGGATGGGCCGAGGAGGCAAGGGTGCAAGGGTTCCCTTGGGGAACGTTGCCCATCCCTACTATGCGGGCTGACTGTACGGCGGATTCGTGTCGTGCCGACTACGGCGTCGCCGATCTTCTCCATCTTCGTGTCTCGATGTGGAGCTCAGTCTTCTCCACGCCTACGTCGCCGATGCAGCGCAAGCGTCGCCGATGCATCGACGATGCGGCGCAATCCTCCGACCCCATCTGTGGCGGGCTCGTGTCCTGCCGACCTGGCGTTGGTTTATGACACCGCGGGGATCGTCCAACCTTGAACGATCGGCCGGTTCCGAAGAATCAGGACGTTCAACGGTCGACCGATTCTAGGTCGCCAGCGGCGTTCAACGTTGAACGCCGGCGGCGAGGTCGCCGCCGGTCGACACGACGACTCGAACCTACCGGAAGTTCGGGGGCAACTCCTGGGAAGCCAGACTTAGCCCATGGTTAAGCCAGAGCAGGCGAGAGCAACCCGGGTTCAAAACGGCTGTGCTGGATTAGCCCCGTTTTCGCCCACGGACAGTGGCGCCGATGCAGAATGCAAACTTCTACGAGTTGCATCCTGAGACGAGGTCGAGTCGGCGGCCCGCCAAGGAGGAAGGCAGAGGAGGCGGCCCCCTTAGAAGGCCGAGAAGGCATATGTCCTTCCGAGGGCTCTGGAGAAGCCCAGCCGACTCCTCGCACCTCCCCCTCGGCGTGCCGCCAATCGAGGAGCCCACGGGCCGCGGACTGAGGCCTCGGGGATGACAGCCGAAATGATCGGTGGTGCTTCGCCTCAGATCTCGCGCGGACGCGGGGTCGCCAAGTGGGTCACGGGAAGTCCGCGGGCGCAAAAGCTGTTCATCCCAAAATTGGGAAGCGGGGTGCCAGAGCGGCTGACCCGGCCACTGGCAACGTTCAAGCCCCTTGACGGATACAGCGACCAAAGAGAGGTGTGCTTGACATCGTGCCATCTGGCGGGGCGATGAGTCGACGGACTGCAACACTGATTGATCGCGAAGCGTAAGCAATGAGACACACAAGCAGGACTGGAAGCTGGGCAAGTGAGTTTTCCCTGGACGGTTACGTAGGGTGGAGCAGCTCCCAACAATGCGGACGATGCCGCTGGACAACTCGGACCTGGTTCGCAACACACCGCAATCGAAACTTGCATCATACACTGGAAACATCAATGGCCTGAACGACCTTACGCCGCTTACGCCCCCTGAGCGACACGCAGTGGCGGGCGCGAGCCGAAAAAGGAGCCCTGGCCACGCGGCCTTCGACTTCCCGTAGAAGCCCGCCAGCACCTCGAGCGCTGCCTTCAGCAACCTCTGGGTCTCGCGTTGATCTGCAACCTGGGCACCCGCTGGGCGCCAATCACCAGGGTCCCCAAAAGGGTGTTGAGTTCTCCTCCTCCTCCTCTCTTGCATTTCCTTATACATAACTTCTCCCTGTCGCACCTCGAGGCCAGTTTTTGGCGCGGGCCGGGCGTTTCACCTGAGGCTTCATCACCATACATGACCCTGAAGCTTAAAACTTGACAACAACTTCACAGATGGAGGGCAGGTCGTTTTCAAAATGTGGCTCTTGCCTTTGCACCACCCGCATTCGTTTCCAGCAACGGGTTTCGTGGATTGAGGCTGGGTAGTTTTCAACATGTGGCTCTCGCCTTAGTGCCGCGCACATTCGTTTTAAACATGTGCAACGAGTTTAATGGACTGAGCGCGGGTCGTTTTCAAAATGTGGATCTCGCCTTAGCGCCGCGCATATTCCTTGAAGCAATGCAAGAGCTTCAAGGATTGAGAGCGGGTGGTTTTCAAAATGTAGCTCTCGCACCCAGCGCCGCGCACATTGGCTGTAAACAATTGCAAAAATTTCACGGATTGACGGCGGTCCCTTTTCAAAATATGGATCTCGCCTCAGCGCCGCCGCGCAAATTCGTGCATAACATTTGAAACTGTTTCTTGGTTTCACATGATCAACAAAACAAAACCTTTGTTTTGGAAGGGTTCAGGACTACGAGGGCGCAACAGTTACGCTGATTCGCGGTGTTGAAATCCCAGGAATGGCCTTCTGACGCGATTCAAGATCGTCAAGGCGCATCAGTCAGGTTGATCCGTGGCGCTGGAATCGCGAGAACAATGTTTTGGCATGTTTTGTCTTCCAACGAGGCAGCTCGCTGAGTGGAGGTGAACCGTTGTAGGGGCCCATGAAAATGGAGCTTAGGGGGAGGGTTCATTCCAACATCGTTGATGACTCTTGGGTTTCCACTGGTCCTTCTCCTCTTCCTCCTCCTCGGATTGGGGGAAATTTCAATACACTGCCGATCTGTCGGCCGATCCAGCCCCTACCGGATATTTTCCAGGCGGGCCGGGCTTCTGGCCCCTATCGGCCATCGATGGGAATTGGAGGTCGATGCATCCTCCCCTGAGCCTATTCCCCCCCTAACTTTGCCACCAAAAATAACAAAAAGGCATGAGTAACTATCAATTTCGGAGGTCCGTACGAATTTGGCGCGGAGCGCGCCAGGGGCCGCGCCTGAGGCACCGGCAGGGGGGTGCCAGCGCAGATTCAAGATATCTGCGCGGAGCCGATGTTTTCTATTCGAATTGCCGCTGAACTTTCCCCTGTTCCTCTCATGGCATCATGGGCACGTGGACTAGCAAAGAATTTGGAGCGTTAAACTTCTGGCTTGTGCTTCTCAAGTTGTGGCGACTGGTGGGATCGCAGGGGTAGCCATGCAGAGAGGAGAGTAATTAGAAGAGGGCAGCGCGCATCGGATCTATTTGGGCTCCCAGCAGTTGCCTCTGCGGCTTTAGACAGGCGTTGAAGCGCACCTCCGCACACTGCAGTGGGGTCGCACAGGGCACGAGCACATGGAGAGGCGATGCGGCATCGCACTCTACAGTCAACCCGTATTCTAAGGTTATTTTTTTTATTCGGCAGCATAGAAAACCACTTCGTGAAATATTCACCTGCTCGTGATAAGTACGTATACTACACTCGAGAGCTGACAGGTCACTAGTGCCTCGCTGTCACGCCGCAGCGCGTGATCCCACAATGGGTAGTATGCAGTCTCCGAAACTCGAAAGCAAGTCACCCCCTCGTTCTGGCGACTCCTGGCCAGGCGCAGGTCACCAAAGGCAAAGCCTCAAGACTGCCAAATCATCGCACGCTCGGACAGCGGACATTGCCCCCGCTAGGTGTGCCGCACGAGTGAAAGACTGCCCAGGGCTGCTCTGAGAGCGCTGGCACCTGAGACGCCCCGCACCCCCAGGTCAGGCGTACGAGAACCGTTGCTGAAACTAGTGCCTAGGCAATCGAAGAAGGTGCCTCGGTATCTAAAAAAAACTCAGTGTTCAACCAACAGTTCGCCGAGGGGCTACGGGAGTCGATGCAAATTTTCCGTATTCTAAGGACGCACGATAAGGATGCAAGGGCTTTGGAAGGCCACGTCGACACTCCTCGAGTGGGGCTGGCCAGTGAAGATTGCCAGGGAGGGGCCGAAGGGGAATAACAGGGGAATATGTCGAACCTTATTCCAGGCTGCGGGACGTTTTCGAATGGACCAACAATTTGGGGCCCAACCGTGGGATATACGATGGGGGGCGTCCAGGGGTGCGTCCGAATAGCCCCCTTGGGGTGTATCCCAGTGTTTCCCTCCTTTTCTGAGCGGCTTCAGCTTTCGCCGTGAAGTCGGGGGTTTGGGGAGAAAAACCGCCTGCGAGAGAAGGACGCAAATGCAACCTTGGAAAGTAGTTTTTGTCCTTACTGTTTGGGCTGACTGCAGAATGATTCCTCCTCCTCCTCCTCCCGCCCCCGCCGGGACCCCCCGGGATCCGCAAGCGCTATCGGGGCACGCAGGCGGCGCGAGGGTTGCCGCTGGGTCGCCGGACGGGGATGGTGCCTCAGGGAGAGGGTCGAATGGACCACAAAGTCGAAGATTTCTTTTAAAACAAAAAACTGCAATACTAAAACATAGAGCCGACGGGTTAGAACAAAGACAGTCTCAGCCAAAAATGGCCAAAGAACATTTCGTGCAAACCACAAAAGGTTCTTAGACCATTCTTTGGTGAGCTGGACACTTCGCCACTGCTCGACACGGGCGGGGGCAACCCCTCGGCGTCCCAAAAAACGATGCGGTGCCAGACCGCACGGCGACCTTGAGAGATCCCCAAAGACCTCACAGCGCAGTCCGTCACCGCAGGTTTTTGGGGACCTCGGAGGAGCGGGAGGGGGGGAGGATGAGAAGGAGGAGGAGGAGGAGGCGAGGAAAAGGAGGAGGAGGAGGAGGAAGAGGATGAGGAGATCGGCCAAAGTCCCAACATCGTGCGTCCCCCCGCATTCCCACCACGGCTCACCGCACCGGTCGAGGGCCCCCCAAACAAACACCACGCACTACTGACCGAGGTTTCCCTGCTCGGTGGACCAGCGACCGCTGCACGATGGGCCAGCGGTTGCTGCTCGCAGGCCGACGGACCACGCACCATCAGCTCGGGCTGCCTCTCGCACCCTGCCTACAAGACTGTCGACCAGCCGCTGCTGCTGGATGGACAAGCGACAGCTGCCCGCAAACCAACGAACCATGCATCTTACATCACCGACAAAGGTTGCTGCCCACCCTGCCCACGGGATTGTCGACCAGAGTCTGCTGCTCGACGGGCCAGCGACATTGCTGCTAGCAGGCCTGGACTCGGGAATTAGCGCAAGGAAGGTAGGTAGCGCGGGGTGAAGCGAACGGCAGTGGCCTCTCGACTGGCGGCTCCCAGAACATCTCAGGAGGACCGAGACGAGCATCGCAGAGCCTGGCGAAGCGTGGGTCCCCCTCCTCCTCCTCCTCGGCAAGGGTGGGTGGCAAAGTATGATCGCAGAGCGGCTGGCGAAGGCAACTCAACGGGTTGAGACAAGCCGTGACAAAATCGAACCAGCCGAAGAAAAAGGAAGACGAAGCCATGACGTAGACAGCATAACATCGAACTGGGAAAAATCAGGGATGCCTGAGACCAGGCGCGTCGGGGAGAGGTGTCGGGCGCCTCGGGCGTTCCAACTAACAGACGGGGGAACTCCGACGGCACCCTGGGGCGATTGAGCGGTTCACCCACGTGCCCGGCCTGTCTGACAGGGTAGGACACCATACGCCCGACGAAGGGAAATTGTCACTCCGCAAATGTCTAGACCTTTGCACCAGAGACACATCTTCGCATTTCTCGATCATCCATGGCGCTGAGGCCCGAAAACTACGCCCCAAATTGACACATTCGATGCTCCACTACCATAGAAAACCGAACCTCGGACGATCCAGCGGCGCGTGTTGACTAGCATTTCGAAGAGAACCCGGCAGAGGCGACGAGAAGCATCCTCGAGGCCCAAGATAACCCCAAAGCGTCCAACAACCTCCATGATCGAACCTCGATCCTCGGCTGGGGCTCGCGCCGTGGTCTGGAAGTCGGCGTTCTCCTTCTCGCGGTCCTCCCCGGCGCGCTTGAGCTGCACCTGCATCTCTGCGATCTCGGCCTTCGGCCAAACGCACGGCGAGGCCGCAGGAGGGTCCACGCGGCTGCTGGAGCCCATCCCCCCTGCTCCACGTTGTCCCTGAACTCCCCCCCTTCTCGGGTGCTGCTAGAAATGCCCCTGGCCCAAGGTGCCCCCAGGATGTCCTAAAGCCCCACGGCCTCCAGATCACCCCTCACGAGGCCCAGAGTAAGACGAAGCCAGGATGAGCTCCAATCGAGAATCTCTGAGATCTGGCGGCTGGTGGATGTCTCGGGCGGCGTTCCAGAACGCTCTGGAACGGATCTTAACAGGGGATCTGCCGACCCCTGTCCCAAACTTCGTGGGCTTTCCGACCGGACCAAAAGTTTGGGGCCCAATATGCGATGCGGGGGCGCCCATCCTCGATAAGGGTGCGTCCGAAAAGCTCCCATTGGGGTGTATATCAGGGTTTCCTTCCTTTTTATGAGCGGCCTGATTTTTCGTCGAAAGGTCGGGGTTCGGGGGAGAAACATCGCCTGCGAGATTTAGCCTCGTCCCAGCCCCGCCGACACTCCAGGCGCGAGCGGGGCCCCTGAACCGCCCCTGGCCGACACGCCCACGAGAGGCCCGAGCGCCACTCCTGCAACATCGCGGCGAGTCTACGTTTGCGGTGGCAACTCACGCGAACCTCCCTACCATCTTGTCGGCTCTTGCGAATCGAGGCGAATCGACGCTAGTCGAGCCGACGCAAATCGGCGCTATCGCATCGACTCCCAACCGCAGATCGACGCTAAAGACAGAATTGACAGGGTACGCCAGGCTCCTATGATTTGCGACCGAATGCGTATGAGTCAGGCCGAGCGAGCGGATCCAAGTAGACTGTTTTTGAATGCGGGTGACGCTGCCTGCATCCGCCACCGTGCCTCTGGGCACGGAGTGGGCGTGTCCCAAGGTCCTCTGCCTGATCCCTGAAGCCTCTCAGTCTTGAGGCGTCTCAGGAGGGCCCGGAGCCGAAATTGCCAAGTCTCCCGGGGTTTCCCGCGTGCCCCTGGGCTGCGGGAAGTGGCTCCGCATGACTCTTCCTGGCGCCCAAGGTGGCCAGGAGAGGCCCCCGAGAGGTCCCTAAGACCCCAAGAGGCCCCCGAAGGAGGCCCCGGCGCCCCAAGGAGGCCCAATAGAGGCCCAATAGAAGCCCCAGCAGGCCCCAAAACGGCCCCTAAGAGGCCTCCAAACTGCATCCAAGAGGCTCTCGGGTGCCTTACACGAGATCCCCCTACGAACATCCAATAGGCTTCATACCCACACCCCAGACACGGTGGCGGGATGGGCCAAAGCCCATTAGACAGCCGCCCCCTGTGCTTGTCACAGGACTGCGCGGCGTGCTGGACCATTTCGGTTTTGGTCCTTTTCAAGCTCCTCCTGGGGCTTCGGCCCAGCGCGCGGGCCACCCGGAAGGGACGAGAAACTGCGCATGTGAATGCCTTTCACGCCCAAGATGGTCCAAAATGGACTCCAAGATGCCTCCAAAACGGCCAAGATGGCCTCCAAGATGCCTCCAAGATGGCCTTCAAGACGGCCCAAGAGGGTCCAAGATACTTCCAAGTCCGCCCAAGCCGCCTCCAAGACTTTTTTGATCTCCACGGACCCACCGCAAAGTGCAGATAACTGGCAGGGCGGGACCTGCCAGCACTGAAAGACCTCGCCTCGGCGAGAGCCGCTTTGGGGAGGGGGCTTCGCGAGTTCCTTTCGGAGCGCCCACTATGGCCCCCTCCCCGCACGGGTCGACCCTCGGCTCGGGCTCCCACTGTCTGGCAGACATGCCAGAGACAGTGCACAAAAAGAAATAAACTCGCCAAACAAGAGCCAAGCCTGTCACAGGAGGCGAAAGACAGGCGAGGACAGGCACCAGCTGACCCACAGCTGGAAAAAATCGGCAACGCGGAGAGCGTCCTAAGCGGACAGGCGGTCGCCGCTTAGGTCGCGAGCAGCAACCTATGCCACAACAGCCTGAAAGCCAAGGAAGCAAAGCACGGCCGAGGATAAGATTGAGAACAGAAACTGAAAGAAAAGGAAAGGCTCCGAAGGCCAACGCACGAACAAACGGTTCAAACCTGCCAAAAGAGAAAGGCAGGCGAGAACGCAGAAATTCAATCCGAATCCCCCGACCCCGCCTCCACAGTCCCGCCCGTTCCCAGATCATCCGCTTCGCAGCGGAGAGACGCAGCAATGCGATTCAAGCACTCCCTGGTGGCTGAGGCCGAGGCGACCACATCACACGAGGAAGAGCTGGGCGCAACACTGCAGGCATGAGCACAGGCAGTGGCTGCAATAGCTGGAACCGTGAAGCTGGGACGCTCTTGCCCTCCAGCGCTGGCAGCACTGCCAGACGGGCCAGAGGGCGCAGAGCTGGAAACGTCTTCCTCCGAAAATTGAGGATTCGAAACCAAATACGAGTTGAAGCAACGCACTAGCGAGGTGTCATCAATTGTGACACCTTTGCTGGACTTGGAGTACTGCGGGTGAATACCCTTACACAAGGCGGCCCAACCCTGACGGCCCGCACGGGTAGGCTTCTTGCAAACTTCGCCTAGGCCTCTAATCCTGCCACCTGTGGAGTGGCATTTACATTTTAGGCATATGAAAAGCACTGTCTTGTCAGAGCAGTCGAAGGCAACAGTCCTATGCCCAAGAGCGTCTTGCCTTGCCGCATGCAGCTTAGAATCCTGAGGGCACCTTCCAGGGGGAGGCCGTGACGAGCCCCTGTTCCCGCGGAGGCACACCGCACACCTCCAGACGTCAGCCCAGACTTCCCAACGATGGCCTACCTTACTGCGGGAGCTTAAATGCTCAGCAGGAGGAGGAGGGAGATAGGGAACGTCGAGAGAGAGCTTAGGCCAAAGAGGAAGCAAATTAGCAGCAAGGATGCAATAACCCCTGGCCGCTTCCACAAGCTTGTCCACATTGGCAAGTTCGGTCGGGTCAGATGGGTGAAGCTGAAGGGCATGTTTGGCCCCCACATCCGCATCAGCATTTCCACGCCTGAGGAAACGTTCTCTCTCGGAGATGCCCTCCTGGTGCACATCTAAATGAGCTTTGACCTTAACAATACCTTCCAAAAAGCGGCCCTCAAAGTTGTTGGCACACATGATCATTCCTGAATAAGACCTCTTGCCCGAGTACCTCTCAGGCAAGGGCAATGTGCTGTGAGACACAACGTTCGCACAGTCCGAATAAATAGTGGTCGGCATCACCAAGAACTGTGCGGCAACACATCTGGCAGCATATTCAGCCGCCTGAGGCGTCTGAGGCAGATGAGCCCAGACAGGGCCTCTCGCCTCTCCAAGGCACGTGCCATCCTCAGCATTCATTGTAATCGCATAGACAGCTCTAGACAGTTCCTTGATCGGGTGGCGCTGACAGGACCCATCTATAAAGACGTGCCCCCACATTTCCCCGTTCACTGGGACCCTGGGACCTTCAGGGCTAGGAAGCTCGTCACAATGCCAAACGAACTGGAGGGCATTCGTTCCCTCCTCAACAGGACGCGGCAACACATCAGCGGGATGAGCGAAAGCTCCTCTAGTATAAAGAGCTCGCACATGAGGGTCAGGTTCTGCCTGAGCTGTCCACGCAGTGATGGCGTCTTGCACAACTGAGGCCGGGACCAGCTGAGTCCGCGACTCTTGGACTTCCGTCGCCGCGCACTGCCAAAGCCTGTGAAACACTGAGTCGGGCGCAGCAGAGCAGAGGGGACAAAGCGGGTCAACCTGATACCCACATGCCAAGGCCTTGTCCGCAGACCAGATGGCACCACAAGAGCAAGCCCGAATCCAGCCCCTCTGCGCTGGAGAGAACTTCTTACTGACACAAGCAGCTCTGGGAATGTCCAGACACGCCCTGCAATCGAGCCCCCATTTACCCCCAAGATCCCGCTCGAGCCCACGCAGGTAGGCCTCTTTGCACATAGTTTCCAACAATTTGGGAGGAATCAGGCCGAGCTGCAAACGATAACCACGGTCGTCCAAGATAGTGGCATAGTCAACCATGGTCCAACCGAGGCGACGGAGGGTAAGGCGAAGGGCAGACACGGGGCCCTTAACAGTAGGCCAAGTAACCCTAGGCAGCGCAAACACACTCCTGAAGCCATCTCGGAGCTCCCTATGAGGAATGGACCAGGGGAACTCACGAGTTTGGGCCAGCCAGACCTCTTTGCTCCAACGCAGGATGGGGGCCGAAGCAGCTCGCCAGCACGGGTCCTCCGACAGAAGGCTGACCGCCGTGAGAGACCTACTTTTAGCAAAAGGCCTCACAGTCTTGAAAGCTTGCCGCCTCATGGTTAGGAGAACCTGGTCGCTCACCCCCAGGATGTCCGCCCCATAGGCCCCTCCAGGGAGGGGGCCCGCGGCGAAAACTCTGAGGGCTTTGCGACCAAGGTAACCTGCCTGACTCTTGAGACGACGGGCTTTCCTGCAGAGCAGCGCCACACGGCTCTTGAGCTTCGAGCTCCGCCCTGAGGCCCTGACCGAGGTGCCAGCACAGTAGTCGACTCCGAGGTTCACAGTCGAGGCAGTGAACTTGCCTCCAAACTGTCCCAGGGCCGCAGCCAGCGCGGTGGCCAGGCCTTTGGAGGACGCAACGGTACAAATCTTGTCAAGAGCAAGCTGACAGTTCATCTCATTCTCATCAGTAATAGCATGATGGAGAGCGAGAGAGACGGTAACAATGGACGAGATAACATGTTCTCTGGACCCCGTGCAAGACACTCCAGTATCATCAATATATATGTCAAAATCAACTGAGGGAACAGAGGGGAGCTTATCGAACGAAGACAAACCATAAATGCGTATATGAGTAGTGGCCATGCTGCAGCCCGCGATGACTCCTTTCCGCACAAAATGCGGCCCATCCAGGAGGCCCGCGATGGAGACAAAGCGGCCACACCTATACGCATAAAGGGTAAGCCTAGTCAGCACAGTCGGGAAATTGTGTTGGTGACAACGCTGCTCTAAAACGTCTAAGTCAATCGTTTCATAATACTTGAG